CCTCGACACCACACGGGGTGCGCAGGGGGTGGTCTCTCAGCTCGGCCGCTATCCACGACACTGGCGCAAAGCCTAGCAGGCGTGGCACTCTCTCGACACCAAAGGGGGTGGGCAGGGGGTGGTCTCTCAGCTCGGCCGCTATCCACGACACTGGCGCAAAGCCTAGCAGGCGTGGCACTTTCTCGACACCACAGGGGGTGCGGAGGGGGTGGTCTCTCAGCTCGGCCGCTATCCACGACACTGGCGCAAAGCCTAGCAAGCGTGGCACTTTCTCGACACCAAAGGGGGTGGGCAGGGTGTGGTCTCTCAGCTCGGCCGCTATCCACGACACTGGCGCAAAGCCTAGCAGGCGTGGCACTTTCTCGACACCACAGGGGGTGGGCAGGGGTTGGTCTCTCAGCTCGGCCGCTATCCACGACACTGGCACAAAGGCTAGCAGGCGTGGCACTTTCTCGACACCACAGGGGATTCGGACGGGTGCCGTGGTACAGCTCGTCGGATATCACGACACTGGCGCAAAGACCTAGCAGGCGTGGCCACTTTCTCGACACCCAAAGGGGGTGGGCAGGGGGTGGTCTCTCAGCTCGGTCGCTATCCACGACACTGTTCGCAAAGGCTAGTATGCGGCACTTTCTCGGGACACCACAGGGGGTGTGCACAAAGGGGTGGTCTCTCATTCGGACGATTCCACGACATGGGGCAAAGCCTAGCAGACGTGGGCACTTTCTCGAAACACAGGGGGGGGGCAGGGGGTGGTCTCTCAGCTCGGCCGCCCACTACCACGACACTGGCGCAAAGCCTAGCCAGCCGGAGGCACTTTCTCGACACCACAGGGGGTGCGCAGGGGGTGGTCTCTCAGCTCGGCCGCTATCCACGACACTGGCGCAAAGGCTAGCAGGCGTGGCACTTTCTCGACACCACAGGGGGTGCGCAGGGGGTGGTCTCTCAGCTCGGCCGCTATCCACGACACTTGCGCAAAGGCTAGCAGGCGTGGCACTTTCGCGACACCACAGGGGGTGCGCAAGGGGGTGGTCTCTCAGCTCGGCCGCTATCCACGACACTGGCGCAAAGCCTAGCAGGCGTGGCACTTTCTCGACACCAAAGGGGGTGCGCAGGGGGTGGTCTCCCAGCTCTGCCGCTATCCACGACACTGGCGCAAAGGCTAGCAGGCGTGGCACTTTCTCGACACCACAGGGGGTGCGCAGGGGGTGGTCTCTCAGCTCGGCCGCTATCCACGACACTGGCGCAAAGGCGCAAAGCCTAGCAGGCGTGGCACTTTCTCGACACCACAGGGGGTGCGCAGGGGGTGGTCTCTCAGTCGGCCGCTATCCACGACACTGGCGCAAAGCTAGCAGGCGTGGCACTTTCTCGACACCACAGGGGGTGCGCAGGGGGTGGTCTCTCAGCTCGGCCGCTATCCACGACACTGGCGCAAAGCCTAGCAGGCGTGGCACTTTCTCGACACCACAGGGGGTGCGCAGGGGGTGGTCTCTCAGCTCGGCGCTATCCACGACACTGGCGCAAAGCCTAGCAGGCGTGGCACTGTCTCGACACCACAGGGGGTGCGCAGGGGGTGGTCTCTCAGTTCGGCCGCTATCCACGACACTGGCGCAAAGCCTAGCAGGCGTGGCACTTTCTCGACACCACAGGGGGTTGCGCAGGGGGTGGTCTCTCAGCTCGGCCGCTATCCACGACACTGGCGCAAAGCCTAGCAGGCGTGGCACTTTCTCGACACCACAGGGGGTGCGCAGGGGTGGTTCTCTCACGCCGCTATCCACGACACTGGCGCAAAGCCTAGCAGGCGTGGCACTTTCTCGACACCACAGGGGGTGGGCAGGGGGTGGTCTCTCAGCTCGGCCCATCCACGACACTGGCGCAACGCACTAGCAGCGTGGCACTTTTTTCTCGACACCACAGGGGGCGCAAGCTCGGCCGCTATCCACGACACTAGCAGTGGCACTTTCTCGACACCAAAGGGGGTGGCAGGGGGTGGTCTCTCAGCTCGGCCGCTATCCACGACACTGGCGCAAAGGCTAGCAGGCGTGGCACTTTCTCGACACCACAGGGGGTGCGCAGGGGGTGGTCTCTCAGCTCGGCCGCTATCCACGACACTGGCGCAAAGCCTAGCAGGCGTGGCACTTTCTCGACACCACAGGGGGTGCGCAGGGGGTGGTCTCTCAGCTCGGCCGCTATCCACGACACTGGCGCAAAGGCTAGCAGGCGTGGCACTTTCTCGACACCACAGGGGGTGCGCAGGGGGTGGTCTCTCAGCTCGGCCGCTATCCACGACACTGGCGCAAAGGCTAGCAGGCGTGGCACTTTCTCGACACCACAGGGGGTGGTCTCTCAGCTCGGCCGCTATCCACGACACTGGCGCAAAGCCTAGCAGGCGTGGCACTTTCTCGACACCACAGGGGGTGCGCAGGGGGTGGTCTCTCAGCTCGGCCGCTATCCACGACACTGGCGCAAAGCCTAGCAGGCGTGGCACTTTCTCGACACCACAGGGGGTGCGCAGGGGGTGGTCTCTCAGCTCGGCCGCTATCCACGACACTGGCGCAAAGCCTAGCAGGCGTGGCACTTTCTCGACACCACAGGGGGTGCGCAGGGGGTGGTCTCTCAGCTCGGCCGCTATCCACGACACTGGCGCAAAGCCTAGCAGGCGTGGCACTTTCTCGACACCACAGGGGGTGCGCAGGGGGTGGTCTCTCAGCTCGGCCGCTATCCACGACACTGTCGCAAAACCTAGCAGGCGTGGCACTTTCGCGACACCACAGGGGGTGCGCAGGGGGTGGTCTCTCAGCTCGGCCGCCATCCACGACACTGGCGCAAAGCCTAGCAGGCGTGGCACTTTCTCGACACCAAAGGGGGTGGGCAGGGGGTGGTCTCTCAGCTCGGCCGCTATCCACGACACTGGCGCAAAGCTTTGCAGCCGTGGCACTTTCTCGACACCACAGGGGGTCTCTGAGCGCGGCCGCCAGAGGGCTCAGAACGCAGGATTGTGCATATATAGTATATACATAAGCAAACACATAAGATTTATATTAAGTATGTGGGGTTCCTCGGTAGCGTAATTGCTCGGCGGCGAGCGATGGGGGGGGAAGTGAGAAGGAGAGGGCCCTCTCAGAATGCGGCGGTATACTTCTCAGAAGCCCTAGCGCCTTCTGAGAAGAGTTGTTTGTGTCTTGAGGGAAGGCCTAGAGAACTTCTCAGAAGGAGGACGGGGGACTTCCGAGCCTTCTGAGAAGGCCTTCTCCTTCTCATTTCTCCCCCGCGCTCGCCGCCAGAGGTATCAAAGGGAAGAGGTGGTCTCTCTGAGACTACGACCTGGGTCGGTTCACGTCGGGCCAGCGGCCCAGGGGAGCCCCCAGGGTGAGCAGGGGAGGAGGGGGGGAGAGCTTCGCGTGGACCCCCCCCCCGGGGTCGGACCTAGGGCCCCCCCCCCGCTTCAGTGGGCGGACAAAATATCGCAAGTTATATGATCGTTCCGAGAAACAGCGTGTCAACTTTGATCATACTCCATCGCTATCCGAGGAGCTCCCCTTCCCCCGCATTTCAATGTTGACTTGCATTATTGTGTCCTCCCGGACTTGGGGTGGTCGCTCGATGCCAACATTGAAATGTAGGGGGCGGGGGCGTTCCGTCGAGGTGGCGTCGCAATGTAGGCGCAGCCGCCCGCGGCCAGGAACAGTTTGCAATATTTCGTCTTCCCACAGTTCCCCCGGCAGGGAAGGGATCGGAGGGAAGAGGTGTCCTCCATGCGATCGAAGACGAAAAAACGCCACAAACATAAACTGTCGCGCTCCGCGCGGATTTCTTGGATGCGCGCTGGGCCACCCCCGAGCGGCGCCTCCGGCGCCGCCCCTGGCGCGCAGTGTATGTTTATGGCGTTTTCTCTTCTTGTTCAAGACTACGACCTGGGTCGCCGGCGGGCCAGGAGAGCTCCTAAGGGTGGCAGCAGCAGGGAAAGGGGGGGAGAGCTCCGAGTGGGGAAGCGTCTCCCAGGACAGCCCCAGAGGACCACGCAGGTCGAGGAAAAAAAACGCCATACACATAATCTCTGGCGCTTCGCGCGGATTCCTTGGATCCGCGCTGGGCCCCCCCGGCGGCGCCTCCGGCGCCGCCCCTGGCGCGCTCCGCGCGCCAGGGGGGGGGGGCACAGCGCGGATCCAAGAAATCCGCGCGGAGCGCTAACAGTTCAGATTTATGGCGTTTTGCTTTTCTTGTTCGAGACCGGCCGGCTGGCGGGCCAGGAGAGCCCCCAAGGGTGGCAGCAGCAGGGAAAAAGGGAAAGGGGGCGGCGCCTCCGGCGCCGCTCCTGGCGCTCCGCGCACCAGGGAGGGGGGTGCGGCGCAGATCCCAGAAATCCGCGCGGAGCGCCAAAAGTTTACGTTTATGCTGCTTTCTTGTCTTCTAGCAGGACTCCCCCTCACACACACGCCGGCCAGCACGTGGGGGTATTGGCAAACACCTACGTCGGACAGCAACTTGTGGTCACAATTGGAGGACGGTTATGTGCACCGTACAAACAGAGACAGGTCTACCCTTGACTGAATGAGCGGCGCCCCAGCGCCCACTCCCAGCCCCGCGCGCGGCCGCCCTCACGGGCGAACTGGGAGTCGCCTCGCCTCGCCTCGCCTCACACACACGCCGACGGAGTCGGCGGTTCGTATTTTTGTTATGGCCGGCAGGCGCGTTCACTGGCTTTTGGACGCCCTCTGGCTGAGCTTTGGCCCCGTGGGTGGGAGGGCAGAGGGAGGGGGGCAGCCATTTGTCTCACACGCGATCTCATCTCGGTTGGCGGGAGGTGGCGGACTCATCATTGATCATCTCTTCGTTCCATCCCTCCTCATCCTTTGCACCCCTCCTTTCCGTCCCCTTCGCTTGACGTGCACCCCTCGACCCCCTCATCCTCGTCCCCCTCGCTTGACGTCCTCCTCGTCCCCCTCGTCCTCCTCATCCTTTGCACCCCTCGCTTGACGTGGGCCCCGATGCCAATGCAGGTACGCCCTGGTGTACGCGGTGCTGTGTGGCCTGAACTTCTTCTTCGACATTTTGCCACTCATCACGGACCCCTCCCCCGCCCTCCTCTGGGACTGGGGAGGGGGCGCCATCCCAACCCAGGGGGCACGCTGTAGATGAATCAGGACCACCACCGTGAAGGGAGGGGGGCAGATAGCCAGAGAAAAAACGCCATAAACATAAACTTGTGGCAACTTGTGGCGTTCCGCGAGGATTTCTTGGATCCGCGCTGGGCCCCTGGCGGCGCCTCCTGCGCCGCCCCTGGCGCGTTCCGCGCGCCAGGGGGGGATCCGACGCGGATCCCCGAAATCCGCGCGGAACGCCAAAAGTTTATGTTTGTGTTGTTTTCTTTTCTTCTTGCAGGACTCCCCCTCTTCCGCGCGGAGCGCCAACAGTTTATGTTCATGCCGTTTTCTTTTTGTCCGGAGGAGGGGCACCATTGTAAGGGAGGGAGACAGATAGGGGGATCAGGGCCTCACTGGTGCACCACATGTTGCTTGTGGGAAAGGGAGAAGGGGGGAGGGGAGCTCTCCAGGGACGCCTTGCATATTATGGATTCCGCAGATCCGCACTCTTTCTCCCAACGCTCCGAAAAGTCGGGCAGACTGACAGTGGGGGTAGGGGGAGTGGCGAGCCCCTCCCCAAAATGGAAGCACGGGGATGGAAGAAGAGACGCGCTAAACCACGCGCGCCTTGGAGAGCTGGTGGGATTTCATCGAGCGCGACCAAGCGGGCCTCTCGCGTGCGCATGTTGGAATCATTCGAATGTTGTTTTTTCCCGCGCTTGTTGGGAGAGCACGATGCCTGTCAAATAACATAACGCGGGCCACTCGCGCCCCGTCGACAAAGCGCAGATGTCGGAATATTCCCAAAACCTGCATCGCCGACACGTGGACAACATCATCGTCGCCCGCGTCATAAGCCTTGCCGTCGTCATCGTCACCATCGCCACCAGCATCGCTACTATCATTATCGCGTCTGCCGTTGTGCACGTCGCCATGATGCCGCGCCCGCCCGGGCCACCGACTTGCACTGACATGCCCGCGCGTCAGCGCGGCCTGCGAGACGCGTTGGGACGCGCTCGACGGCAAGCGCCACCGCGGCCGCGTCGGTCGCGCCAGACTGACTCCGCCGCTCTGCGCGCGAGCCTGCGCGCGCTAGCGCGGCCACAGCGATGGGCCAGCCAGCGCCAAGCAGCCATCGCAAGCGCACCAAGTTGCGGCTGGGCGGGTGGGTTGTGCGAGTGGTGGAATCGACAACTCGTTGCGAGCAATAATCATTGCAGCACTTACGTCGTACCGCGAAGGGTGTACCACACACACACACACAGACACACACACACACACTGCACCACAGACACTGCACCACGTCGATTGCACCACACACAGTGCAACACATACATTGCACACGTTGCACCACACAGGTTGCACCACGTCGATGCTACCACTGGTTGCGTTGCGCATCATATTACACCACATATATTGCAAAACGTATGTTGCACCACAAACGTTGCACCATTTGGATTACACCACTGATAGAATGCACCACATAGGTTGGTTCACCCATGCTGCACTACATGTATTACAAAACGGCAGATCTTACAACCTAGGTTGGACAACGTCGATTGCGCCACGTAGATTCTCCTTTTCTAAAAAAGAGTAGACTCTACCCCCCCCCTGGACTTATCGGTTTCCCTTGGGATAGTACGATTTCATATACATTCTGCACACTCGTCCATCCTAATTATGAAACCATACCATCCCAGCCAAACCGGTGTTCCCCCCTGAGGTTCCCTTGTACAAAAAACTATGCGGTGACATTTTTTGTTTTAACATAACACTAGTTCACGAATCCATTGCAAAAAACGAGACGAAGTGCACACGCGCGCGTCGTCGCGCGCGCATGCCGAAATTATTCAAAAACTATCGGTGTGGGAAGGATTTCGCAATCGAGTTTCCAAAAAAAAAACATACAAAAACACAGGGTGTCGCAACACAGAGTTGCTAAAGAAGTTTCCGCGAAAGCTCTTGCGAAATTTTAGGAGAACCATCGGTTTTTCAAGATTTTCACGAAATCCTACCAAACGGGCTTCGCGCGCGCTCATGTCGAAATCTGTCGAACGCCCTTGCGCGTGTGCCGTCGCGAGAATCCCTTGCAAAAAACGGGACGAAGTGCAGACGCGCACGTCGTCGCGCGCGTATGCCGAAAACCTTCAAAACCCATCGGTTTCGGAAGGATTTCAAAATCGCGTTTCCAAAAAACCTACAAAACACAAGGTTTCGCAACACGGATTTTCAACAAAAGCGTGCGCGCGCGCTCTTGCGTCGTCGTCGTCGTCGTCGTCGTCGCCGTCGTCCCTCCTCCCGCGTCGTTGTCGTCGTCGTCGTCGCCTACGTCGTCCTCTGGGTTTCCTCGTGTTCGTCGTCGTCGTCCTCTTTGGCGTCGTGGTCGTTTCCGTCGTCGTTGTCGCCGTGGTCGTCCTTCCTCCTCCTCCCTCGTCGTCGTCGGCGTCTCGTCGTCGTCCCTCCTATTCGTCGTCGTCGTCGTC